CTCTGCTCAGCACCTATTTGTCGGAGCGTGATTTTTTATAGCCTATAGCCATCCTCGATAAATGCGCTACCCAAAATAAAAAGAATTATTCAAATCAGACTTGTAGTTACGGAGATTAGCGCGTACAAACAAACAAAAATACAAACTCTTCCGCTTTACATATTAGTATAAGATGTGCTAGCAGCTATTCTTCAGTTGCATGGTAGAAAATAATATAACATCACGCTTTATCCTCGAAGGGGTAAGCAAAGGTGCACATTACGGCACTTAATGCCACTGTACAATGTAACACCCACTTTTCACTATTTATGTTATGATTCCCATGTAATAGGGGGTGAGCCTATTGCCATATACCGGGCACAATTGCAGACTCTGGGCTACTATTGTCAATTTTTAAAAACCCACTAATACTTTGCAAGGCCCTAGGAATCCCAAGACCCCTTGTCCAGCAGTCGCAAATGCGACTACGTAGCCAACGAGGCAATAGATAGTAATACTATAAAATTATAGATAAGTATGTCTAAATAGTTAATTTGCAAAAATTACCAATGACAGACTCACTCTTAGTGTTCTTCTTGACTCCTCGCCACGAAGTTTGGAAGCAAGGTGCGCACATCTTGCAGTACGCTAGCTCCTTCATGTACATCTTCACGTCTTCATCGTCATCTTTCTCCTCCGATTCATCCTTTGTTTCTGAAGATTTTCTGTAATCAATTTTAGGGTCAAGGTTGTAACTAAAATCATTGGCAAAAGTTAAGCTGTAACATAGATATATTTTTAATGAATCTAACCAATAAATCTTATCTACAATTTGTATATTGTCAGGTATGAGCATCAATGATGATGATGATGATATAAATGTACTAACATGTCTTCAATGGGGTTAAGAAGCATTAATATAAGTCAAAGTCAAAGTATTTATTTCAATTAAACCATAATTTAGTACTTTTGAAACATCAACAAATATAAAATAAATAATAGTATGTCAGTGGTTATAAAGCAGTATTAAAAATGATGATCAATATCATTACAAGTAGTATAAAAATTACTACTGAATTAAATACCACATTAATTAAAAATTACGAGTCACTCAGGTAAATATACTCAGAAAAGGTCTACTAATTTCGAGTCACAGGGGACTCTTACTCATGAGCAGAGTGCACAGTCGTGGTGACGTTGCGTTACGTCAGTAACTCTTAATTTTTAGTTAATTCATTATGTTACGATAGTTATTATAATAAAAACGTAAATACATTTTAAAAACAACATGACAATGAAAAATTATTAAAGAGTCCAAACCACTTATAATAAAGGCCATGATACTCAATCTAAATAACACAAATATGCAAAGAATAAGTAAAAATATTAAATTGACTATCGCTAACCTGTCTCTGGCAGTTATCAATTTATACACAGCTGAAGATGATTCTTTCGGTTTGTACGCAACAAGGAGTTCTCCATCCTTCGTCTCTTCCTTACTTAGAATCACCTCATCCGTGATATGATACGCTTTGTGTCTTCGTGTAGACAGTCCAAATGTGGTCAGTACTTTCTTCTCCTTGTAGCGAGGGAGTACACACTGGAAGATTTCAGACTTCTTATCGCCGTCCTCGTTTTCAACGGATGTCTTACTCCATATTGTAGTTTCTGGTTTTCCTATAAATTTTTTATTCATCAATTATTGGATATTAGAATGTTTCATTTATTTTTATTAAAAATTATGCCTATAGGGATTATTATACAGTTGAATCAAATAAAAGTATGTACTTGGATGACCGAACATTACTCAGTGTTTTTTTAGTAATTAACTTTATCTGAAAATGTAACATTTGTAGGTTACATTTATATGTATATACAAAAGATTAAGTCAAAGTCAAAGTCAAAATCATTTATTTCAATTAGACCAGAAAGGCACTTTTGAACGCCAACAAAAATTTAACATGAAGCTATTTGCTTATTCCAAGATGTAGATTCTTATAGAGAAGAACAAGCAAGAAACTCCATAGGTTACTCTTTTTCAATTAGGTTCACAATACAATTTTCTAGTTACATAGTTTTGTTGTTTGGGTTGAACGAGAACAATGTAACACTGCAATTCAGTCAGATAATTGATGCAGCCGTTTCCGATACTGTTGGTATACATACAAGAATTGGTTGTTTAAAGGTATTAGATATAACAAAATTGGTTATTTTATTTAGGTAATGTCTGCGTCCCCATTGTTTTCTTATTATTGTAAGTGATGTGTAAAACTTTGTTTACTCAGTACAAAAACATAGAGATTACAATAATACAAACCTGTTTGTTTGTTCGGAACATTACGGAACACAACTGTTCTAGTAGAACTGAAAGTGTCCCCTCTCTCCGGCTTCAGCAAGTTGTCACAATGTTTGAAATGCTCCAAACACACGTTATTCCAGTTATTTAATCTCTTTTCATCAGATTCCTCATTTTTAATAGCTTTAACTGGCAAGCATAATGGATCATCATAATCTGGGATCCTTATTTGATATAGTTTTCGATCTATTGTAGGATCTTTAGGAGGTAGATACTTCATCTTCTTAGCAGAACCTACTTTTGAAGTGTTTACAGGCTCTTTTGGGTGATACGTTTTCACTTTATTTTTGACCATGTTTTGTTTTTTCTTCTTGCCTTTCGTACTCGGTGGGCTGGCTGGAACGAAGTCATTTCTAGGATCGTAGTCAGAATCTTCATCGTCCTTCCTCTTTTTTCGTTTACGTTCAGCCGGCTGGCGTTCAACTAGCAGTGGGGTTAACTTCTGTTCGACGCGGGGCACTAAATGTGGAACTTGTACTGGTACTGCTTGAACGCATTGTTGAACGATATCTGCATCTTCATCTAAAAACTCTATATCACCATCCGATTCAGCCATAATTTGTTTTTAATACAGTTTTCGAGTAATTAACAAAACAAAACACCACAAGCCATTTAGAAAAATCTCGTTTATTTTGACATAATCTGTCAAACTCTACATTTTTGTAAATTGTCTCTGGATTATCATTCGTTTAGAAATCAATGAATCAAGCCGAAAAAGGCTCGTCGATCACTGGGAAAAATGATAAATGTTATCTTGCCGATAGAAATCTAAGGTCTTTTTCTTAGTAATGCTTATGTATTGAAATCTAGTAAAGTACAAATTGGATATTAGCTCAAAACAACCTTAACATGAATATCATTAAACTAGCTCCTGCCACCGGCTTCGCCTATCTGTATGGAGAGGTTTCACAAAATGGTTGTCGTGACACTTTTACAAAAGGTAATCAAGAAGTAATGGCTTATTTCGTAAGTATCTGTCTTATTCAAGATTACCCTTGCATGATGACATCAAACATGCTGACAAACTTCATGGAATTTAATCACCTACACCGTACATAAAAGAAAACTACATTCTTCCGGTATTTATAATCTTACTTAAATTGAAATGTGTTGTCGCATTCTTTATCAACTAGACGATAAGATAATCTTTTGATGACTATCAGCTGTATTAAATTAATACTGTAATCTATTCACTCATCTAGACCTTAACAAATACATTTTAGTTACTGAGAGTCACTAACAGGCTCCTCTCACGTGGTTTCACCTGTTCCTCAGATCTTTTTGAATATACCGTGATGTTTCATAACTAATAGCCTTCCTCGATAAATGTAGGATGGAACACAAAAATAATTAAATCGTAACCAATAGTTTCTGAGATTAATCCGTCCAAACAAACAAAATCTTCAACTTTATTATATAATTAGCTGATACCCGCGGTCAATATCGGTGGGTACCATAGTCTCGTCAAAATCGGTCCAGCCATTCTAGAGATTAGTCAGTACAAACAGACAGACAGACAAAAATTTTACAAAAGATAAGTGTTTTTTTTCATTTAGTATTTCTATCGTATGTAGGTATATTCATAGGCATGTACTAAAAGCGGTTTTTTCAATATCACACATATACACTCCAATTTTATTTAGGTATATGTATAAATAAACTATACTGATAGTAGAGTATAATAAATAACATTCAAATTATCAAATAAAATACTTTACGTACAGCAAACGTGAGCACGTGTAATTACTTACGTCTACAGCGGGCCATGTCTGCTATTTTATCAAAATTCGTCATTTCAACACGATCCCATTGTTATTTTGCCAAAAGTTCGTAATCTGCTACATTCATAATGATATAAAATGAGTCGGTCAATGACCAGTGATCCTCTTAAAGAGTTAAGATTAATAAATTAATTTATGAGATATATAATAAAGAATTGACCAATATAGAATTGTAGCATTTTAGCTACAAATTAATTTTTCAGTCCTTGGTTTGTCATTAAGTACGAGATTACTATTTTGTACAATTTCTTTTCTAGTTTCTAGGTGACTAGCTACTCCCGAGCAGTTTCAGCCATTGCTCGTCTCCTATTCGATCGTAGCGTGATATTTATAGCCTAAGCTTTCCTCGATGTAATTATTTTTATAATCTATTAAATATACAACATAATATAAGGAATATTCAATTTATAGCAGTACTCCCGGAGGTTAGTGCATTCAAACAAATAAATGATTTTTTTTAGTTTTATATACCTACATAGGTATTACAATCATACTTATATAGATATAAAACGTGTCAAAATCAGCAATTTCGTAATCAAAATATAGTAGCAGACTAAAGACTCGATGTTCAACACATTTAAAAAACTGGCATGCCAAAAATATATCTACAGCTATCTACAGTGAAAAGGGTATTTCCCGAGTTTCATTCCCTCTGATTTACAACATACTATTAAGACAAAGTTGAGTTACCTATGTAAATACGGATATAGATGGCTAAACACATAGGTTGGGCTAATATAATAGCTATGCAGTAAAACATTATTACTGATATCCCGTATCTCACTTATATTATAAGTACCTATACTGAAAAGTTTACGTATAAAAAAGACCCGTACCTAATCACTGAGATAAAATTACACTATAATATGCATTAACAACTATACAGTGATAAGTTAACAGGTTCAGCTAATCAGTTTACTCCGAGATATGCAACGGGTAGATTCCTTGTGCCTATTGAACACTTAAAAGCTTAGCAATAAAAATTCGGACAGTAGACAGTCCGACTAGTGTGAAGTGATTACAAATTAAAAACGATATTATAATGTGTCGGTTAGCAGCGAAATATATTTTGTTCACAGTTAATTTATTATTAACGGTTAGTATTTATTTAAAAATGTGTAATGTTTTAATAAATTAAATTAAAAAGTTAATTAATTATATTAAAATTTATTTTAAAATAAGCTGAAATATTTTAGTAAAATAGTGAAATTTTGTAAAAAAATTTTTTTATCGATATTATCGTAAACAATATATTTTCAGAGATGACAAGTTCTAAAAGGATTGTTCACCTAAGTCCACTTTCTTCTAAATCCATATCTTCGGAATCTAAGTAGGTAAATAAAATGTGTTTTTTTTTTGTTTCAGCTCTTAGGCCTCTTTCTTGTAGGCGTGGGAGTATATATAGCAATCCAGTACAAAAACCTACTCGATGATGTACTTGGCATACAACTCAACCAAGATTACGCGCCAACTGGTCTCATTGCTTTAGGTGTAGTCGTGTTTATTATTTCCTTATTCGGATGTTGTGGAGCCATCTCAGAGTCAAAAAGCACGCTTAAATTTGTGAGTTCTTTAATTTAAAAATATATAATTATTCATCCTAAGTAGTAGTGGCCCACTCCTACAAAAGTCTAGGCTATTAAATCTAGGCCCAGGAATATGAATTCATTCAAGTCGTGGATCAATTTAAGGAGCAGTTTATCCTGGACATTTAGGTAGTTCGTTTAAGAATTCAAAACATGGCTTGTCGTTGTATGTCCAAAAATTATCATTAAGTACTTATAGATACTTGTTTTGAAAATTCAAACATATCGACGTCCAACATTCGAAAGAAAGATACAGAAAATTTTCAAAACTTGGGTCAGTACTTACCTATTATTTTTTAAACATTTGGTAATTCGACAATTTTAAAAGTTCGTTAAGTACCAGTATGAAGTGATTTCTAAAATATCAAACATTGAGGACATTGCGATTAGAAAATACTAATGTGATATTCTTTTTCAGTATGCTGGAATTATGGGTGTGTTAGCTGTCGCAAAGATAGCTTTCACAATATTCCTGTTTGTGAAAATGTCCGATTTAAAAGATAATGTACAAAGAACTATAGATCAAAACTTTAACGACCCAGCTCAAAATATAGCCTTCCATGCCCTTGAGGCTAGTGTAAGTATTTTTAAGGGAATTCATAGTTGTATATTGATTTAATTGAGTACAAGTAAAGGCAGAGTTTAAATTATTGACCGATCAAATGCTAAATTGTAAAGGTTGTGTGTGTTAAGAACTGATTACAATTAATTACTTTTTTAATCTTTAGAGAGTATTCGTTTGATTCTTTTATGTTCCACATCTAGACCCTGCAATCTTATTTCCATTTCATTTTTCTTTGAGTCTTTAATATCTTTTATAGGTTTACACATACGACACGACTGTTGACAAATTTTTAAATTTTTTGTTGATCTTTAACTTTCATCACCTAACGGAAAATAATATAATGTTATTTTCAGTTTAAATGTTGCGGCACAACAGGTCCAGATGCTTATAGTATCAACTACAATAATTTGACAGCACCAACGTGCTGCGAAAAATTCAACAAAGACCCTACGACTACTGACGATGCGAATAGAATCTGCACTATAAATGAAGCTTATCCAGTAGGCTGCAGTCGACTCATTGCGACCACCGTTTACAATTTCTTAAGAACAATTGCTTTTGTCTTGATAGGATTTATAGTTTTTGAGGTGAATTTTTTTTTAAGAAATTTTATTAAGTACTTATATATATTTTATTTATATACGAGTACATCCATTAACTTAGAGCCTGTAAGTGCGACTTTTAAATTCTATGGAGAGCGGTCACCAGTAACCGCTTGGGGATTAATCAGTTAAGGTTATCGTGTTGGGAAACGTTGGGCCGTTTGTTCAATCTTGTTGATTTCAGAAAATTCTGTGTGATGAGCCTAGAATAGTGCCTAGTAATAGGCTGTATCATGCCCCTATATTATTCGATTGCACTGAAAGGCTGCTGCTTAATACATCATGGGTTGCAGATTAGACTTTTTCATGCAACAATATGCATCTTTGTATACTATATACCACAGTGTTTTTGGTCTGCAATGTGAAATTATGTGTTTGTAAATGCACACGTGAAACAGGAAATATTGCGGTACAAGGAAACTAAAAGTAAAAAGATATTAAATAAGATTTTGAACTGACAGAATAAAATGTGTGACGTTTTCCGAAAGTTAAAATAACGAATTTTTCTTTCAGTTGATGGCGATGTTGTTGGCACTTTATGTCGCCGCTACGGTGCCACTGCCGGTCGTGAATGCCCCTACTACATATTACTATTACTAAGGTTTATGTTTATCTAACTGATGGATAATTTACCTTCTACAGAATGTGCAAAGAAGTGCGTCAGTTATACTTAGGTACTAACAAGGACGTTGAAAAAAAAGTGGACCTGGCACCTGGCTACTATAGACTTACACGCAGAACATACATACACACATTACAGTTTGTTTCCTTTACCCTGAATTTGGGTAAATGCTTTGTAGTACCTAGGTAATAGATTTTCCGTTGCAAATAATGTATGGAAGAATTATTGGATACAAATAAAAAGAAAATAATGTATAAAAAACAATTTTGTAAGGACTGATAGTTGCAAATTGTCCTGATAAAAATTAACCTATTAATAAGATTACTTATATTAATCAACGTTTTAATGGTAGGGTGGATTCTTGCTTATTTTTAAAAATAAATAATCAAGAGTAAACTACAAATGAAAATGCAAAATTACCTTTCTAATCTTTGAATTTAGTGCCGCGGTTGATTAAGTTGAATCCTTAAATACCTATGCTCATGATAAAAAGCAACAGCTGCTGCTGCTTTCCTTATGTTTGGCAACCAAAGACTACTATAGTATACTGGCTATTGGCAACCTATTATACACGCACACATAAGTAAATAAACCACTGACATTTTTGTGCCTCAACCATTTTTCCGACCGCCTTCTTTTCAGGATCCAATAATACCTATTTAAATCAACCAGAAATAAGAAAACAAAGCTTCAATCTCTAAACATATTTTAATAATATACTCGTACGAAATATATTTTTACTCATTTCTTACAACTGTGTTTTATTGATTTATCTCAAATGCATACTTATCAGACTTAAATAGATTAACAGATTAATGTTAGCTCAACTAATCTTATCTATAAGTAATATCCAAAATACCTATATTCGAAAGTACTTACCTATATTGACATTTCTCCTAGCATTTATTATCAAAATTATCGATGACTAGCTGTAGCCCGCGGCTTCGTCCACGTGGAATATGTTATACTTCTCTTTTATTAAATTTTCTAATTATAAAAAATAGTCCCACATCTATCGCCAACTGTTTTCGAAGTTGAATGTTACAATAATAATAAATGGTCCTCAAATTAAATGTTAATAATAATAAAGTTAAAATGTTACAATTCATAACTAATATTTAAAAAAATTTTACAACTAGGTTAACAGATATTTTTCTCTTAAGATAATATTAGCACGAGTTGTGCTTGCTTCTGACCAGTAAAATAACAATAAATTGAAAACAAATGGGTATTTTTCTACATTTACTGAAACAAGTAGGTACCTAGTTAATTAATAAAACACACAAAGGTAATAAAGCCGAAGCGCATCCATAGACTATGATGATTTCTGAACGAACGATTGGCAGTTCCAGCTATAGACAACACAAACGCTTGTAGCTTTCCTCAAATGAACGTATAGTCTATGGTTAACACTTATTATTGTCAACATGTCGGACAAGTTAGTATTTCAGAAAAAAATAGTTAAATTATAATTTTAATGCAAATATTTAGTATAAAATAACGTCTGGTGTAATCTAAAATGATCAATTGATGTGTTTACATCAAAAACAGTGGACGAACACTTATATTTCTTTCGTTCAATTTGCGTCGTAAAATTCTGACATGTGTTAGTTATCGTGATCAATAAAATGTTTTTTATTTGCAGTGAAGACCTATTAGGTGACGATTTAGGAGACCAGAGCCTTGCGGACTATAACCTTGGCAATGAGGAGGAGGAACAGCTCTTGGCTGATGACTATGACAGTGCTGGTCCTCAAAATGTACCAACTTCTATTGGATCCAGTTACCGTGAGCCCATTGTTATGGGCCCACCGGAGTATACCAGTCATCTAGAGTATAATAATCAGGTAAGTAATTTTATTTACTCTGTTCTTGATGACCTTAGCCCAAGTTACTTGGGGTTAGCAGCCCATAGTATGTTGTTTCCACTTTTCCCTATTAGATGTCATTCTACCACAACCTCCTTTCCCTTTCTCATTAGTCATACAATCTTTTCTATATCTATATTCATACCTCTATATTCATACCTTGATATGTTTAATTACTTCCGGCCCAAGTTCTAAAATGATTTCATTAAAATATTATGAAACATTGCATGTTTCTTAAAACGTCATGACAATAGAAAATACCGTGCTTTTATTAGACTGAACAAAATGGTATTTAAGTTAAGAGAAACTCAATGTTACCAGCTAAACGTGTTGAAACATGTCCATCAGAAACGTTGACCAGTCTTCACTGTAGCTAACCACCTTTTCTTAGAAGTTTAATTTCTGAAGCTTCATTTACTTTTTCTAAGCATTTTAGTATAACTAGATAAATAAAATATTCTTAACCACTTGCAAGTTTTTTTTTTTTTCTATTTTGTATCCCGCAACACAGCAATCTGTTTATAAAACATTTAGCCGCTTTCTTGGCTGACTCATTGTCTGAGTGTGGCATATTGCATTGAAGAGAAGTATCCAATGAATTTCCCTTCCTACTGGCTGTTGAATCGGTCTATGAGGTTAGGTACACTGCTCCTCTTCAGTCTTGCAAATTGGATACTTCCAGATCCCGATAACTTAGAAGCAAGGGCATTGACATGCTTAGATAGCTTTTTCTGATAGTTTGAGCCTCTCTGAGAAATTTCTTCTCTAACAGTTTTTAGCCTTAGGTCTTGTAAAATGTATTTGTTGCTAATGCTTTTGGGTATATTGTACATGCATCTCATTGCCTTCATTTGAAACCTTTCCAGAATTTCTATATTGCTGGTACTTGCTGTTCCCCAGAGCTCAATACCGTATGCCCAGATCGGTTTCAGGATAGCCTTGTATACTGCCATTTTGCTTTCATTCGATAGTTTTGAGTTTTTACCGATCAACCAGTGCATATTTCGAAGAGTTGTGTCGAGCTGTTTTCTTTTGGTTCAGATGTGTTTCCTCCAAGTTAATCTTCTGTCGAGATGCATGCCAAGATATTTAGCAGTTTCGTCTTACTTGCAAGTGTGACTGAAAGAATTAAATGTCTAGGAGGTGCCTGCCCCGTATAGTTATGTAGATAAAACCCAGAATTTGTCTCACCATACATATTTTATCCTATTTGATTATATTATTAAACCAAGCTAACAATAAAAAAGCAGTATCAATATTATCTTGATGTTGGTAACAATATTGCTATAGGAATTTTAACCTTGTTTATTATGAAGTAGTAAGGTTGAAATCTGTTGTAATAGATTTTTAAACTATATATTTAATTTTCAGCCACCCATACAGTATCAAGCTATCGCAGACACAGAGTGCGTGGTGCCGAATATAACTGTAGAAGTGCCGAATGCTCCGATGCCAGAGGTGCCTACATACGCTCCATATGAACCACCAGTATATGAGGAACATGCTGTACCACCTGCAATTGTAAGCTATTTCTAACTAAGAGGTTTTTAGAATTATAATCTATACTTCTATACTAATAGTATAAAGAGGAAAGATTTGATTGTTTGGTTGTTTGTTTGTTTGAATGGAATCTCCTCCGAAACTACTGAACTTATTTGAAAAATTCTTTCACCGTTGGAATCCTACATTATTGATCATGAACATAGGCTATATTTAATAAGAGAGAAAAAAGGGAACCGTGTGTGTTCTATAATCTTGTATGCAACTACTTTGTGATGACTATTGATTGATTGATAAATGTACACAAAGAATAACATGGATTAATAATTTTTCCTGAAAGTAATTCTGGCATTTTGATTTCATTGAAATTTATCATGTTAATAGTGATATCACTACTATTCATAAGAATATTGAGTACTGATAATTTTTCTCAAATAGTGAATTACTTAATTAACATTAACAAATGACCCGTGTATTTTATATCATAACATAAATAAGGTTTGACGAAGATATGACGCTTTTAAAATTCAAACTTTGTCATGCTGTGCTATAATTAGTTCCGGTTTTTTAATAATCAAACAATTCCGATTAGTATCCATATTTATATGTTACCTTAAACTTGCGTTTCGAATCATTTCAATCTACCTACACCGATCAGTAGTGATGACAATATTTTTATGTCAACAAGCCTAGCATAGCATACTAATGGAATAGCATACTAATGTCCAATAGTAATTCCTCTACTATTGGACAGCGTACAGAAATGTCCTAATGATAAAGACATTGCTTGGTGCATCCATCCATCCATTCACTCGATTAGTATTCACCACAGAATGTCCTAGTAACATTCATTGTCTCTCCCACTATGCATTTACCCTATTAATGTATCTTACAAGCCCTTATTGTTATCCCCATCCCCTGAAGGAATGTGTTGACTTATTTGTAATTTCTCTTTACAGCCGGCAGCCCCAGTGGAATCACCACAGATTGTGCCATCAGATATGAATGCTCAGATACAAAGTAAGTTTCATTGAATTCTATCACTTAAAAAGCCTATAAAATTCAGTACATAACATACATACATATATAGCCTCACGCTTGTCTCCCATGGTGGTAGGAGAATATGGAACATCAATAGCAACAAGTATTACAAACTTCTTTCGCTTCCTCAGCTTAATGCAGCCCTTCCTTAAATAAATCGCTACTCTGGTCTATATATGTCCGTCTAGGGCGACCTCTACCGACGACCTATACGACGTAAAGACATAAAATTCAGTCTATTTTAAATTTTATTTCTAATGACATTTTGAAAGACTACACATGGGTCAGTTTTCGCAAAATATCTCTAAGTAGTTTGTACTATACCTTAAAATATATCTAATTAATTTCTATGCTAATCTTTTATTCGCAGATGGAGATTTAGGTGGTCCTCGGGAGAGATTTATCTCTGAGAGACCACCGGGTGCTCAGCGACTGCCACAAGTTAGAGATATACCTGATACCTTAGGTAAGTGATTTTCTAAAACATAATAATGTGTAATTTGTAAATGACAAAAGTTGGTTAATCATTACTATAGATTTTTCCAAAGTACCTCTATAGTCAGAATTTTAATTCGATTCCAGATTTGACAATAGCTACTGTCATTTTGTGAAATAATGATACCACATATAATAGTATAGTGATGAACACAAAAATCGATAAACAATCAGTGTGTGTGTTTTATAATAAATGTTATAGAAAGTGACAGGATAGCGATAGTGATAACGGCGACAATTTATAAAATAACTTATTACCATAAGCCATAATACACATCTGTTTTATTTGTCATGTTCCTTCATGATACATTTTTTTATTTATTTCACACACAATTATAAAAGAAACGTCTTAGATCGTTAATTAATCGTCAAAATTAAATTATCGGTTCAGATATATTTAATTTCCTGATATACTTAGTTTACGGGAGTAAAATTATAAACGAGAAGAATCGATCCAGAAATATTGCATAATAATAATAATAATTTCGCAACGTCACTATTTAGTACTTGTCATAACGTTGCAACACTGAAATTGTCAAATCCGGAATCGAATTAAAATTCCGAGTATAGTTTATGATGAAACTATTTAATATTGTAAGTTGAGTCCTATTACTTATACAGTTGGTCTAGGACTGTGCCTTTAGCCAAACGCCACTTTAGCGCTTGTCTACTGAAAGAGTAGAAAACTAAATGTATGGGGATGACATTGACAAGTAATATGATTATCTATTCTACATGTAGACAAGCGCTAAATGGCATTTGGCTACACCTACTGATTTGAAATAGGTTTAAAAAGTGCATTATTGTTTATTGTCGGAAAAATACGTAATGTTAGGCTAAGTCCACTATTCACTAAGTTTATTCTAAATTTTTACCTGACTATGGAGAAGCTAAAAGGAGGTTAACATAACATCACGCTTTTATCCCGGAAGGGGTAGGCATTACCTTTTTTTTTGTTTGATTCTTTTTACCGACTTCATTAGAACGTGTTTTTTTAACACAATAACCACAATAATATAAACATACATATTATCTTCCAGATAAGGTAGTAATACCTCGCGGCGGGTTCCCCCGCGGTCGTACGTCGTGGCGCAATCCTCAGTACGCGCAGCGGTTCCCGCATCCGTACAGGAGGAACAACGTGCATCGGGTGAGTTCGACTGTCATTTCATCATTGATATCTACGGTGCCGCCCATGGTCACCAACACTCACCAAAGCGGTTAGAAATGCATTGTCCCCCTTTTAGTTTGCCAGAGAAACGAATACTTTCGACGTTATATTGATTTGAAATGTCGCGTGACGTCACTTCTATGTACATTTTATACGTAGAAATGACGTTTTAGCCCCCACTCCTAAACTTTGATTTGTTTTAACTAAGTATAATATATTTTTTTATTACCTAATTGACGGACTAATTAGATTTTTAATTTTCATACCCTGTCATCATCCCTATTCCTCGAAATGTTAAACATACTAAATTGTACCTTTATTTACAGGGTAACTTCAACCAGCGACCATCATTCCCACCCCCGCAACTAAGACCCAGCCCCCCACATAACCGGCCTGAAATCCATCCCGAAATGAGACCAGAAATCCGCCCTGAAATGCGGCCTGACATCCGACCTGACATTCGGCCTGAACTACGTCCCGAAATAAGGCCAGATATGAGAATGGAACCTCCGAATCTCCCACCTATGGGGCCGGAGATATCTCCGGAACGTCCGTTATTGCCTCAGGACATGCCCCCAATGTACCGTCCACCCATGGAACGTCCACCATTCATGCCCCGATTCCAATTTAGGCCCCATATGGAGGAGCGTCCTCAATTTGGGCCTGTGAGGCAGAATTTTGAACCAAGGCCAGTGTTTTACAGGCCGGGCTTCCCACCGAGGCAGTTTGCTCCCCCTATGAGGGAGATTGTGCCCAATGCTAGTCATATGCCTCAAGTGACGATCAGGCAGGCGATGCCAATGCCGGGGCCAAGTATGGATAAAGTGATTAAAGAAGGTCCCAGAGAGCCTGAAGTAAGGATGTTACCGGTGCCTTTACCAGCGAATTTGCCTCCAAGAGGATTGGCGGGCAAGAAAGTGCTCATCAATCCACACTTTAAAGGGAACTTCCAACCGCCTGTTGAAGGTAATTATAATTTGTTTGTATTATAGAAGTTTTAAGTGTTGATATTTACTGTTATACTGATTATATCGTTACTCGCAAGCAATTGGTTAGTTTCTCATCACCCTATCTTTATTGGGTTTCTCTCAGTTTACAGACTAATAGGGTAGATGACTAATTTTTGTTTTAATGTCCGTCTGGTAGATTATTTAAAAATATAAGACACGTATTTTTTATTTTCTTACGGAAATGAATAGTTTCGAAGATATACTGATTTGAAATATCGCATGACGTCACTTTTGAGCATGATTTATACTCTAAAATGACGTAGCTACCTCCCACTCCTAAACTTTGTTTCGTTTTATCTAAGTATTGTTTTATTATACGACAAAATAAAAAATACGTGTCTAATATTTTTTCATTACCTAACTGACGGACTGATTAGATTTTTAATTTTCATACCCTGTCATCATCCCTATTGTAAGAACATCTAAATCGAGTTTAATTTCGAGTATTAGGACCGGTATTAATAATTTCAGCAATATAACGATGTTCCTACATCTACATAATATCTTAGTGATATACAATATTGCCATATATAAAAAATATTTAGTAAAATAAATTTGTTTCTGTACTTAAGTGTAATAAATGTTGTTAGGGTTGCCAGTCTACATTCCAACAAGAATACAAAAGTCGCCGCCGCTCAGTCCTACGATTGAGAACAAATTCGGTAAATGCTAGCTTTATTAGTGTTTAGTGTTATTTCTGTATATCATGTTCGTATGTTGCATAGTGCATGTTCTTGTAGTTTTGTGGCTATTTTTCATTACTTAAGTAGTTTCAACATGAACCCCTAGTGTAGCTTGAAATTAATTGAACTACGTCAAACAGTTACGAGAACGAAATCGAATAATGAAAGGTAAAACAAGTTTATATTACGGCGTACATTATAGTGGAGTCGACGAATGTTTGGTTGACCATTGATAGCTTTTAACACATCATTATTTGTAAATAACTTTCATAGCTTAAGTCTGATTAAATTCAATTGGCTCTTATCGATTGTATTGTAAAGTTGATAGTTAGGTTTTAAAGTAAGTAATATTTCTAGTTTCAACTTAATCATTACTTATCTTATAGGTAAATACGAATTATGTAAATAAAGACTCGACATTGAGATTCTGATAGCACTATAATAATTCTTTACCTTAGTTTGAAACCATATAAATATGTATTTTTATAGAATTCGTATTTTAAAGTCTGTGTCGCTAAAGTAAATCAATACAAATAGTGTTGTCGCTGTATGTTATGTATGTAACTATGTGCTATATACGACTATACGCTAATAATACCACTTTTTTCTGCACCATACATATACACAGTGAAATTTTTTTCGTTTTCGTCCCGCGGCAAAACAACTTGCCCCACATAAGGGGTACTTTCGATTTATAAAGTAAAAACAAAAAAATAAAGATGTTATTTTTTAGTTAAATAAAAAATGAGTAGATACTAGACGTACGTGTGTAGCACTATTCGCATCGCACGTGACGAGAAATACCTCTTCGAGAATTACATGGCGTGATGTTTTAATCAAGTACTATGAGTTCGTATGCTCTTTCGAAGTTTGCTTTTTGCAATAGTTCACCAAGGAGGTCTGAAGGTCGTATCTAATCTGGTGCACGCGTCACTTGATGCACAACTCCTCCAAGCGCCCCTGTCCTCTGCGGTCTTTATAGTTTTTAGAACTGTCTAACTTCAAACTTCAATGTCAATGCAATTTCAATCCAATAAAATCTCAATGATTATTCAATGTCAACACTATACAACCACATTCGTAGCTGTTACAATAGCATTCAGAGTACCGAATATAAAGACAAACTCAATACCATTTAGTTCATTCGATATGCACGCAATCCGGATGCAATAGGACTACTCATGAATCCAATACCGATCGATCGACATTGGGATTGCGACATTTCGGACTCTTGAGGTGCAAGACTAGCGCCCATTGCATTTGTATTGCGTGGATATTTAATGAAGTCAATGGTATTGAGTTTGGCTATAAATTCCGTATTCTAAATGCTACTTTGACAGCTACGATAGGGCTACGATAGTTTTGACATTGGACAATTATTGAAATTTTATTGGATTAAAATTGCATTGACATTGAGATTGGTTTCAAGAGTAAGCAACCAGGTCTGTGAGGTTTTTTACAGTATCTAGCCAACGCGAACGGGTAGGTGAACGACCACGAGGTCTAATCCGGTTAACCTGACCAACCATTTCTTCGTAAAACTATGGTATTACCAAGACAGAACCATTTTACTTCGGGACGAAAACGATATAGATTTCACGGTGTACTATATATCCTTGCTTTGTTTATTAGTTTAAATCACAACACACTTTAAAATAAGAGTAATAGAGACTAATTTATATATTGTTTGAAAGTAGCGTTGGTATCGCCAAATAGGGAAGCGAATATTTATTGAAAGGGAATGAAAGTCATATGTTAAAGTGAGAGATGAATTTAAAGGTGAAGGAAGAAGGCCACTAATTCTGAAAGGTTACTCATTTTAATTCTTTGTATAATGACAGAGATGGCACGATATTTAAGTACAAGTTCAAATTGAGTAGTCTGTCAGTATTCGAGCGCCAATAAAATATGAATGCATTGTTGAAAATCATTCCCTAAATTTGTTCATACAAAAGTAGTCTCTAAATATTGGTAATAAGGTCTATAATGTAGTTAGTTGAGAGCGGTTACTGGTGACCGCTTGGGGATATATAGGTTTAAGCAATGATATGAAATAACAAATGAGAGTTTGCAACGGCGTGTATTTGATTCCTACACGGAACAAATGATGTAATTCACAATTCGTTCGGGATCTCAATACCTTGAATTTGTTTGCAAACACACAAATATATATCTAAAAATGAATATTATGTAAGAAATGCGAAATTGTGTTAAAATTACCACAAATTACATGAAGTTAGAAAGACTAACGTCTGTTTGTATTATTGTGCAGGACCAGTGAAAGATATCGATGACGCAGCGGAGAGGTTTATTGCGGAGCAGCGCAATGCTCTAGCCAGGGCTGCCGTCAGGAAGTACTCCAGGAGGTCACCGCCACAGAGGTAAGTCTACAATAACGTCACAGTTCACAGCCAGATTGGCGTCAAACAAATGTTAGCACATAATACATAACAATGGTTACTACAAAATATTGCCTTTACAGTTGTATAACAAAATTTGCTCAGTTTAATTTCATTCAAGATCTGGGTTAGACCAATGGCATTCAAACGTTATCCTAGCGAGTAAATAGAAAATTCAATATTATGAGATAAGATTGACTTGATTATGACAAGCGTATGTATGTATGTCAAGACAAATATTTATTAGTCATCTTTCAACAAAAGTATGCAATACAATCTTGGGGGATGCGGAATGGACCTGACACTTTGAAACCATATTGGTTTCCCGCAAGACCATGATATCGCTCTGGTTGAACCAGCCCATTTGTTTTTTTTTTATGAGATACACTGGTGAACGAGTAGACCGATCACCTGACGGTAAGCGATCGGTGTCGCCCATAGATACACGGAGCACCAGAGGTGTTACAAGTGCGTTTCCGGCCTTTTGGGGAGTAGGAATTTGAGTATTGTTGGGGATTCAGGGATTAGAAAGGGCCTCCGGTAACCTCATTCACACGATGGAACACAACACTGTGTTTCATATAGTTTTCTGCTCGTTGGTGGTATCTCTCCGGTCGAGTCCGCCAAGCAGTGCCCAAGCAAGGCGACACACACTTGTTTTGAAGCATGGCTCTCACAAAAGTTTAGATTTGTAATGCTGCTACTAATTTGTTACAGATACATAGAAAACACGACGATAGAGATAGAGAACGAGCTGGCGGCCGGCGGCAGACGTCGCAGCCACGACGATGATGACTTGTTGAGGAGGCAGGAGGAGTTCATTAATGCTAACCGAGCTGGACTTCGGAGGAGGTAGGTCACTACGATCTGTTTTAACACTTACATGTACTGTCAAAGGCCAAAAGTCCACTGTCACATGGCAGTGCGTAAGTAATTTCATATTAATGTGCATAAAAACGCGCGTAATAATGCGTACGCATACACACACGCACGCGTACGCACACAGACACAAATATGTGTGTGTGTGTATAAGCGCTGCAGCGCAACCGATACTAGTCTTACGATGGCGACTTTTGACCTTTGACTATACAGTCAGTCATTACTATTTCTTTTCTTCTCTAATGATATCTTCTTAATTTATTTCGTTGCGGGGTTCAATATAGTTAGTTCATGTCCATGAGACGTCCTGGATTACAGTGTTTCAGTGTTTGCATGATTGTATCTACTGTAGATTCTGAGGCTCAGGAGTAGCAGCTATTTTAGGAGGTTGGATTGTGTCTAAAGAAAATACAGTTAAACTATTTGATATTGATATGGAGCCCAAAAATTGGTCCAGTACAGAGAACTGTAACTATTGGGCGGTAATTCAAATGACCAATGGTAACAAGAGATTGGAGTTCGTTTTTGTCTATAAAAAAAAAGTTAGAAAGTTTTTAGTCAATATGAATTACCATGAGATAGAACAGTGTCTTCGAGGTTTCGCTTGATACCTATTTTACTTTTACTACACATATTACATACCACAAATACACACTAACAAACACTTGCACAGACTTTACACACATTCATCCTATTTTCTCACATTTTCATTTAAAGCATGCAGATTCTTTTCGTAATCAGGTGCTAAACGGATTATGTTTGTATCGCTGCTATCAAACACAGCGATACAGGCTATGCCTTTTTTTTAAGGGGGTAAATTCATCGAATGACTCCTCCCGACTGGGTGAGGCGGGAGGGAGTGTCAGACTCTTACTGACTAAAAACCACCCCGTTCCTTCTCCTGCACGTCGAGCCGGAGCCCCGGTTACCCGTTAGGTTCTCCACGACACAGGCTATGCCTAGTGCGGTTTTCACAGCTCAAATTGTAAAATTGTAACTGGTATATGAATAAATTATTTCTTATTTGTTATTTCTAATGAGAGAAAAACCATTGAAGACAAATCCTCCCATGAGACCCAGGCCATACTTAGTGTGCCGATGGTATAGTGAAGTGACCCCCCGTATGGTTCCAGAATGAGGTCTCCGTCCCCGGTCCGTCGGTCGGTGTCCCCGCGCCGCTCGCCCGACCGCAGACCTCGACCCGACACTGCCAGGCATTCCGATGAGGTAACTATGCACTGTTACATTATAATATACTTCTACAGGCTTCTTCTGTATTGGTTATCAACTTTATTTAGTTCAATATGTACTAATTAAACATATTTGGTAGATAGGAATAAATTGAAAATTGTGCAGGAACTTGGAACTAAAGTCGTTTGCTTGTATATCATCAAAAAGTTTTAATCAGGTACTTGCCAACTAGTCAAATTCAATACTTATTTCGAACTGTCAAAATGGCAGTTTTCTATGAATTTTGTGACGTCATGTCTTTTTAGTGTCAAACAGTATATTAATTTCTTAAAAAAATTGCTGGAGGAATACTAAAATTAAAGGGATATAATATCAATTAATCAAAATGTGATTATTTTTTTTACTATTTTATTGTATTGAACAGTCGAAATAATTTATTTTTTAATAATAACTTAAATGGACATTACCTATATTTACTTTGTTTCAATAATCTTGGATGTTCTCAAAACTGATCCATATTTTTCCAATTGTTTCATTCCAGGACAGTGAATACAAACGTCGTCTTCGCGAACAAGAAAGTTTACGCGAGCGAGTGCTTCGCGCCAAGGAAGTACGACGCAGGAAGAATGCTCTACAGAGGATACATGGGGACCGGTGTGTATTCCACATAACTTGTATAACTAAATATATATTTTCACGTTTATTTTTCTGTATTTATTAATGAAACAGAAAATAGAATTATTCACAACGGAAGTGAAGTTTGCACGGCAATAGGAGCTAGTGTTTTTTGGTACTACAAATGTAGGAAGATAGTTTTTGTAACTGATAAATGCTTATTGCACCCACAGAGAAATAAGTATACATTGTAATAGTAATTTGAGTCCAATGGGCGGTCTATAACGCGCGGCGAGTTCTTCCAGACAATACCCAAAAATACAATCTTTGGATGGAATTTTTGAAAAGAATCTGGGAATGGGTGGGGTGCTCAATATTGTAAAGGAAGAAGTCAAGAAAACAAAACTAGAAGTGAGAAATGGTGTGAAATTAGCTAATTCTCTATTGGTCGAAAAAACTAGAGATTCATATTAGCGCCGTACGATGAGCAAAAATACTGTAGCTTCCAATTAAATTCTCCTTTATTGAGTTTCGTCCCAAAAAACTATTAATCATTTTATGGAATGTTTATCATACTGAAATTGACTATCAAATTCTACAAATCGACACCTCTCAAATAACCAACCACTCTTTAATCAACAGTGAGCGTGAAAATCAAGAAAAGGAAGCTTTACTCAAGACCCCGGAGCAGGCCGCGCCGCCCGCGGCCGACCCCGCGGCAGACCCCGCCCGGCGCGGCCCGACACGACGCGCGCCAGTCCGCCGCGGGCGGCCGGGGACGCGGCGCCCGCCAAGGACGAGGTGGAAGTTAATTCTACTTGTGGTCAGTTGCTTTTTTTAATGTTGCCCCACACTAGGATTTTATACTGTGACCCCCACACCCCAAACACACACAGAGTTGCTCCGTGCGGAAATCAAACCCGCTACACGTTGCGCGGCAGCTTAACCCAGCCACCGCACCAACCGTGCAGTCAAATTTTACCAACCTTTTAAAACATTGACTTAGACTGTCTCGTTGGCCGAGTGGTCGCAAGTGCGACTGCCAGGCAAGGGGTCTCGGGCTCGATTCCCGGATCGGGCAAAGTATTACTGGGTTTTTAAAAATGTCAGGCAATAGGCTCACCCCCTATTACGTGGGACCCATAACATAAATAGTAAAAAGTGAGTATTACATTGTACAGTGGCATTAAGCGCTATAATGTGCACCTTTGCCTACCCCTTCGGTACTAAGAGGCGTGATGTTATGTTATGTTTATAAAATAATTATTTTATTCAGTATGTAAACAAGCAAATATCAATAATAATGTCTCCCCCAGAAGCCCTGACCCCCCCTACGGGCGAGGTCCGCGAGGCCCTGACCCCCCCCCTGCCGGGCCGGCGCGGGGACAGCGACGACGACCTCGACCTCATCCTCGGGGACATCGACGGGATACTCTCCGACGATGACGACTCCGGACGGTTCAAGGATAACTCTAACAAGTGCGTATACTGATTTATACTCGTATTCTAAGTTATCTGTGGTCAGGATAATGTGGATTCTTGGATGGACTCCAAAAAAGGACAGGTTTTTATATATTGTGTTTGCTTATTTTTTCCACCGATTAGACGGAGGGACAATTTATTTACATTTCAAAAATGCCTAATTAAGGTTTAATTAAAATAAATGCTTTGATTTTGACTTTAATTTTAATTTGAATTTTGAATATGACTTTTTATTTTATTATGATTCTGACTTTGTATTTAATTTTGATTATAATTTTTTATTTTATTATGATTATGACTTAGTATTTAATTTTGATTGTTTAAGATTTAAAAAATGACTCGACTCCTAAATACTACAATTTCAGTGTCCCTCCAAAACTTATGTTGTTGTGCCCGACAGGGTTCACATTGTGTCAGGCAATAAAGTATTGAGTATTGACGTCATCCAATCTATACAATCTGCTGTCTCGTTTTTTCATCCATCCACGCATATTAAAAAAAAACAGATTAAAACCTCCTTGCCACGAATTACAAAAGCTTTCGAATAAAAACCAGCGTTAATAACAATGAGCAAAGAAAACCAATAAAAAAACCTTAACCAATCCGTTTAAAACATAGTACCGACAATAATATATTGACTTCTTTCCCTCCAGACCAGAGCCCCAGAAGTCGAAGCCTCAAATAGATCTCCGTACGAAGCTCCCTCCCAAGTCTAGCAGTGAACAGAAGAAGCAACAACGACAAAAGATTGTGTTCACAGACGACCGAGATGAGAAGCCCAAGAAAAAAGGTTTGTACAATTAAATACATTTATTTGTCATCCCGAGGGTGTCGAAGATCAGACTAAAGAAGACTATTTGACATAGACAAGGCAACAGTGTTTTCTAATTAACCTTTTTAAGGGGGAAAAGCATCCAGTGACTCCTCCCGCCTGAGGTGAGGCGAAAGAAAGTGTTAGACTCTTACTGACTAAATACCATCCCATTCCTACTCTTGCTTTGAACTGGAGCCCCGGCAATCCTAAACCTTTTAAATTGCTATCGCTAATCCGTCTGCTAAGCTTGGAGATATATTTTGCTAAAAACGTTGCCCCACGCTGGTATTTTCTCATGTGTCGAGTGGGTTTATAAATATACGAGTTTATATACATAATTATAACACCCAGACCCGGAACAACAATCTGTGGATCACACAAAGAGTTGCTTTTTGCGGGGATAGAACCCGCGACACGTTGGCTTGATAAAATTGACGTGTAAAAGTGCTGCCTTGTAGTCTATTTGCAGAAATAAATTCACTTGTTTCATTTGTTTCACTTGTTGCGCGGCAGCCGTTTGCCAAGCCACTGCACCAACCGTGCAGTCATTATGTCAGATTATGCCAAATTTGTAAGCCTCTTCAACATACCCAATAACCCCCCGTCCCCCTTTTTTTATTTGATGGGCCGACGTTTGACCAGTATCTCGTCTGGTGATGCACGATGATGCGGCCTACGATGGAGCACGTCGTCCCATAAGCAACCTATTCACTCGGGCCTTGAAGACTCCCAGGTTATACCCTCCAGGAAACACCACCATGAATCAGTGACGCTTCGCCGATTGTCTGGTGGTATGATTTCCCCAATCCCTGAATCCAAAAGGCCGGTAACGCACTTGTAACGCCTCTGGTGTTCCAGGTGTCCATGGGTGACGCCGATTGCTTACCATCTGGTGATCCGTCTGCTCGTTTACCCACCCGGCTTAGGCTATAAAAAGAACATACGTTGATGGTGGATAATACTCATATATAAGGTGCTCTATAATTATCTGCCACGGCTTTAATGGGAGGTAGTGTTATGTTTACAGATTACAATTGTGAAGAAATTTCGTACCCCGGACCAGTTAATTACATAAAGTAATTAAGTTAACATTGACTACATTCTGCATAATGTCGTTCACAAATTACGCGCGATGCGTCGCTTAGTCAATGAAAACAATTGCTATCTCTTTCGACGTGTACTGAGAATGAAAACGGAAATCAGCTGACTAGTTCGTCACTATCTAATCTACTAGATACTCAATAGGCAGGCTAACAAGGGTTTTAAAAGTGCAATTACTTACCAGGTACGGCATTCTTCCGAAAAGCTGATGTAGGTAAATAAGATTATAAACTTCCCATCACACTTAAAACAGTTTTTTACACACTTTTACAGTTATTTACACACTCTCTACCTACTTATCTACAAAACTGTTGCACAAGCCCACCTTCACGTTGCACACAAATGAAGGCACGCTTCCAAACATATCATATCACATTATTTAATGTGTCCGTCTCACTTTCACTTTATTTCGCGTTTGATTTAAAAGACGCCACAAGTTATTGTCTCTATCATCGTAAACTCCGGCAGTATCCCTTGTGCTCGCAAGAGGATGACACCGAAAGAACTCTAACACTTCCTCTCCGAGTTCTGATTTGAATTTCGTCGCCTGGGAGACATTTTTACGTAGCGCGCGCGTATCTCCGACATTGAAACTAACGAACGTCCGGGCAGGCGGGGGTTGACGGGGCTACTGGCGGCCGGGCGGCGCGTGCGACGTGTTCTGCTGGGGTGTGCTGTCTCGTTCTTGAACGCCCCGTCATACGCTGTTGCCATCCTTATCAGTAGCTCAACCCCCGCCTGCCCGGCGGCCGGTTGACCAGCGCGTGCGACGAGTGCAGGAGAGGGTGCGGGCGCGCGGGGGTGTGCAGCGTGCTCCAAGCCGCCCGGCGCTGAGCGGTCTGATAAGGATGGCAACAGCGTATGACGGGGCGTTCAAGAACGAGACAGCACACCCCAGCAGAACACGTCGCACGCGCCGCCCGGCCGCCAGTAGCCCCGTCAACCCCCGCCTGCCCGGACGTTCGTTAGTTTCAATGTCGGAGATACGCGCGCGCTACGTAAAAATGCCTCCCAGGCGACGAAATTCAAATCAGAACTCGAAGAGGAAGTGTTAGAGTTCTTTCGGTGTCATCCTCTTGCGAGCACAAGGGATACTGCCGGAGTTTACGATGATAGAGACAATAACTTGTGGCGTCTTTTAAATCAAACGCGAAATAAAGTAAAAGTGAAACGGACACATTAAATAATGTGATATGACATGTTTGGAAGCGTGCCTTCATTTGTGTGCAACGCGAAGGTGGACTTGTGCAACAGTTTTGTAGATAAGTAGGTAGAGAGTGTGTAAATAACTGTAAAAGTGTGTAAAAAACTGTTTTAAGTGTGATGGGAAGTTTATAATCTTATTTACCTACATCAGCTTTTCGGAAGAATGCCGTACCTGGTAAGTAATTGCACTTTTAAAACCCTTGTTAGCCTGCCTATTGAGTATCTAGTAAATTAGATAGTGACGAATTAGTCAGCTGATTTCCGTTTTCATTCTCACACGTGGAAAGAGATAGCAATTGTTTTCATTGACTAAGCGACGCATCGCGCGTAATTTGTGAACGACATTATGCAGAATGTAGTCAATGTTTACTTAATTACTTTATGTAATTAACTGGTCCGGGGTACGAAATTTCTTCACAATTGTAATCTGTAAACATAACACTACCTCCCATTAAAGCCGTGGCAGATAATTATAGAGCACCTTATATATTATATTTCATGTTGTTACAGATAAATCTCCCCCACGCCGAGCTGTAGTGACTAGCTCGACGGTCACAGATGATTTTGAACCAGAAGTCAAAAAACTAAAGGTATGTAGCAAATACGTATACTGTTGTACAAATACTTGATAATTTGTCTGCAATTTTCTATCGTAACTATCACAATCATATCAAAGTTTCTACACGTAAATTGTCAATTAATGGGTGGTATTTAATACTTACTGTAAATTCCATGTTTTCAATCAAAATATTCGAAATTACCACCATCAATACTGAATTGCACACTAAATTTGCTCATCAAATAGATCAATTATACTATCTAATAATTCGTAACCTAACCTATTTTGGAAATTCCGTTGTAATATTGAGTGTAATCAAGTATTTTTATTTTACGGTGAGCAATATGTAGTTAATTTGTGGTACAGCCATTTTTTTGATATGCAGTAGGTTATTAGTGGAGAAATTTGTTTTGCTTAAATTTCTAAATAGAGACGCAGTCAAAAATTCCCCCTCAATAAATTTGTTTTATTTAAGATCAATACTTACGTTAATTCAATAATTTTTGTTTTTGCAGGTAAAACCTAAACAAGACTCAATTCCTGCTAAATCTAGACAGAGGATAACTTATGAGAAAGAGGTAAGTTTTGATAAAATAAAACAACAATTAGGGATCCGCATAGATTTATTCTGCTTACTCGCGAGTTTATGAAATATCAAGTGTATGGCTCATTATGTCGACTTCACAAATTGTCAAGCAACAGACAATTCAAAAAATGTAATATTAAGTTACATTAGAGACTCAATAACTGACTTGGCCGCACGGTTGCCGCACGTCATTCATATTTTGGTCATCTCGCAAGGATTCGATACTCACGCGACACTGTCTAAACAATCAATATTTGTCAACAGCAAGCCGACAAAGAGAAAGACGAGGATAAAAAATCGAGCTTCTCGAACCGACGAGTAATACTACAGAGGAAATCACCAAAGGAGAAATCAGTATTTTCCCGCATCGAGGTCAAAGCGGACGTGTCTCACCCCGGCGCGGGAATATTCAGCCGCGCGGTCCGGACCGCCATCAACCCGGACCCTCGCCCCGCGCAGACCACTCAGTCCCGCGAGCCCGCCGTCCACGTGGACGAGGACTCGGAGGACGAGGACGAGGTCCAGTCCTCCGCTTCCACGGCCCGGGTATCGAACCTGCCCCCCGGGATCACGGACACCCGCCTCAGAACTCTGGCCGGCAATGAGCTACAGGTAACTTCTATAGGGTTCCTTTATCATTGTTTTTATCTTTTAAAGATGGTGGTTCGAATGGTAGCGTCAAACATTACTATTTCACAGAAAGTAAGCCTGGATATTGAGTCAATGTTATTGTTAGTACTTTTTGTATGTCAATGTTGCTTTAGGAAGTCCCTAGGTCTAGTCAACAATATCTCCTTGCTATGTAGTACCGACAGTTCTTACTATACTGGACTGCAAAAGAATTTTGTGAGACATTCCGCCTAATGTTGTAGTTCTCTTATGGAACTTACTAAAATATGCAATGATTTTGAAATGTTTTAATTACATGAGAATGTTCGTGAGTTCATTAAAGCGACTGTCGATGTATTTGTGTACAGGGATATAAATTCAATTATTAATGAGAACTGGTTCGATTTCCAGTTTTGAGACTGATTAGTCATTATTAGGTTAAAAGTGTTGGCTGTAACTTTAAACTGCGCTAAGTTGCGCAACCAAATGTATTCATACGATGCGCAAAATGACGATGAAAGATTTTATAGCGCAAATTAGGTTTTTATCAGATCGCATTTGGTATTTGTAATAAATGCAATTGACACGTGGACGTCAAATAATTTATTTATATTTGACGAGAGTTTTAGGTGAATTTTATACCTACTTAATTGCCATGTGGGTATGTGAATTAGGATATTCGAATATTTTACGTTTTGTTGTAGAAGTACTAGTATTTATATTGGAAATGAATCCACTCGAACCACCAATTGTGTGATATTGTTTATTCACTGTGATATGGAAGTGTGATATTTATTTATATGTACATACATTATATTATTGCATAGACGTACACTGTAGTACACTATTTTATATTATATTTTACTAGTTATATTAATTAATAGTTATATGCAGGCTTATTAATTTCAAATTCGAGTTCTTAATTATATACGTAACATCAGGGTTTTAAATTACATTTTTAAACGCTATGTTAGCTTTTTCCTTTTTAAAAA